TCTTAGACATGACCTAATTCTAATTTATGTCTGATTCATTGTTTCATCAACTGTATAAAAACTGAGACTCTGGAAATAAACTTTGTCAGTTGCCGAAAGAGAGCACTGTCCCCCCATTTCTTCAGGTCACATCTCCTCCCCAGGAACCCGCAAGGTGAACTTGCAGTCAATGACAGCCAATTGCAACAACCTAACCCACAGCACACTGCAGGGGCGTGGGCCATGCTCCACAGTTCCCTCAGAGGGTACCAAGCACAGCAAGAGTGCACACCTGAGCGTCACAGCTCTACAAGTTCTCTCATCACCTGCATCAAGATCCAATTCGTCCAACGCTCCGTGAGGGCCACAGTGTTCTGCTGGCACCAGCCACCGTTCTAGCACCTACCAGGAAGGATGAGTCTGGCCTGTGTTTGTACTTCACATGAACAGAAGCTCACTTAAGGTCCCTGCTTTCTATTTTAACAGCACACCTGTGAGCATCACCCTGTTGAGAAAATTCCAAGTTCACAAATTCCCCTACAGCATAGCTGCACTGTTACAGAAGTAAGATTCAGTGTATACACCCTCTCTACCTTGACAGAGTTGGGTTACCTGCAGCAGTTAACCATTAACATTCTTTCTTACTTGCATTAGCCTTGGAGGCAGGCAGCCACTTTTGCCAGGCCTTTCACATATGAAGTCACGCAGAAGGGATTGTCCTTAGCTTGACTGAAACTGCCAGTTCCTCTGTGATGGCGCTGTTTTAGAACCCACCTGCACGCACACAACCAGAATACACAGTCCCTCTGCTCCACAGCGCGGCCAGCGCAGCTACCACCACCGCTACCACCACTCCCTCCCCCTCTCCTCTGGTCACTTCCTCAAACACGAACTGTGTTCTCTCGCCACTGCTGATGGTGTTTTTCTACCAGGTGGTTTTCTCACCTCTCACACCTTGAAACTTCCTGGACTATTACTGAGAATAACTTGCTTTCCCAGTGGACCATCACTTTGCTGCTGCTGCAGCTTCCGTTTCTTAGGCTACACCTAATGGACACTAATGCTCCGTCACTCTGCTCTCACACTGCTGGGACAGCCCTCAACCCATCAATCCACACTCCTCCTCTTTTGTTTTTTGCTTTTCTTTTTTTAATGCTTATTTAATTCTATTGGTAAGATATGCAGAGAGGAGAGAAAGATCTTCCATACACTGGTTCATTCCCCAAATGGTTGCAATAGCTGGAGCTTGCTGATCGGAAGCCACGAGGCAGGAGTTTCTTCTAGGTCTCCACACACGGGTGCAGGGTCCCAAGGTTTTAGGCCATCCTCGGCTGCTTTCCCAGGCCACAAGCAGGGTGCTGGATGGGAAGTGGAGCAGCCTGGACAAGAGCCAGCACCTATATGGGATCCCAGTGCTTGCAGGATGAGGATTTAGCCATTTAGCCATTGTGCTGGGCCCACCTCTGCTATCTTTTGCATAAGAGTGGTGACATAATTTGATGTACAACAAAGTCGACACTTTCTCTGAAAAGTGTACCTACGATAGTGAGTCACTGCAGTTATTTCACCTCTACAAAGAACTGGTTACCTATACGTGGTCAACAATGTTAAAAAGACATTCCAGCAAATCACAACGTCAAGTGCAGCTACATATCCAATACTTACTTTGCGAATTTGCTATTTACACTCAAACCACAGACATCAGAACATTTAGATGTTCCGGTTTACTATTAATTATAGAACTATATTTGCTTGAATTCTGAAATACCTGGTTTCCCAGACTGCCACACGGCACACTGAATACAGGACCTTACCTCCTTCTGAAGCCTGAGAAAGCTTGGGCAGAGTCAAGCAGCCCTAACACGCACCTGAACACAAGTCAGGACAATTGCTAAAGTGAAGGGTAAATCACAAACCAACAGCCTGCTAATCACAGGCTGGGCGACCTGCAGCTCATCAGCTGTGCCAGGCTTCAACTCACAGGCTGCAGAGCCCAGGACATCCTGCTAAGGACAACCAGAATTAACCACCTGGGAGACCAAGATGACGTTCCTGACTCCTGGCTCCAACGTACCCAGCACTGGCTACTGTGGCCATGTAGACACTGAACGAGTGGCGCAAAGAGCTCACGCTGCTGTTTCAAATAAGTCAATCATAATAAAGGGAAAGAAGAGAGAAAGCGGCTGCAGGTGAGGGAGCAGTCACAGAATCCCAGCAACCAGAGGGTTTCCACACACCAGAACAGACACATGCAGCCTTGAAAGCTTAGGAAAACGAGAAATCTCACAAGAACACAGGCAGGGGTGGGCACTGTGGCACACCAGTTCAGCCACAGCATCCTGAGCACCCCACATCCAAGTGTGGGTTCAAGGCCCAGCTGCTCAGCTGTCCATCTAACGCACGTGGGAGAGGCCTGCCACCAACCTAGGAGGCAGGTCCAGCCCTCATCGCTCTGGCCGCATAGGGAACTCGAGGATGGAAAATCTGTCTCTCCCTCCAGTCTCTGTCACTCACTCAGTCTTTAAAATAATTTGCTTTTTAAAAAAGCAATGTGTTCTGGCCTTGTGCTAGTAATAAATGCACATGTTTCACGTTCCGAGGACACGAGAAGGAAAAGAGCAGACCTCTGGGTCAGACAGCCCAAGCCCCGACTCCCTTCCAGACACACTCAAGCAGAACAGCCTGGCACATTATCCAATCTCCATTATTTCATCCTTAGAACAGGGCTCCTGCCAAGTTCAAAGGAGAAAGCCAACACAGGGTATCCCGTATCCAACTTCAGTTCAAATGTCTCCTCTCAGCAAAAAGACTAGCACTCAAGCTGTATTTCTGCAGAGATTATACTGTAAAAAATCAAACACAGCTACCAAGGACCCAGGGCAATGCCTCAGTGGCCAAATCCTCGCCTTGCACAAGCTAGGAACCCATAGGGGTACTGGTTCCTGTCCCGGCTGCTCCACTTCCCATCCAGTTCCCTGTTTGTGGCCTGGGAAAGCAGTGGAAGACAGTCCAAAGCCTTGGGACCCTGCACCCGCGTGGGAGACCTGAAAGAAGCTCCTGGGTTCGGATCAGCTCAGCTCCGGCCATTGCGGCCACTTGGGGAGTGAACCAACGGAAGGAAGAATTTTCTGTCTCTCCTTCTCTTGGGAATTAAGTCCTGTCTTCAACTTGCTACGGAGAAACAGGCAAACCAGGGAATCAACTTCCACAGGAGTCTCTTGGCAATTATAGAACAAAAAACCTTTGACTAAAATGTATTCCTTAAAGTAATCTTGCGTGCTGCCAATAAAATTTACCATATTCAAACACCTACATATCACCCAGTGCAGTTTTGTGCAATGCGAGGGCGGGGCTAGGAAAGAGCCCCCAGGCCTACCCTCCATTCTCTAGCAAAAAAGCAAGATGGGGCGACTGGCTGGATGCTGGTGGCATTAGGTGGGGTGTGATTGCAAGCCTCGGCATCTGAAGATCAGACAGGAGACGCTGGTGACCCGAGCTGGGGCTTCTGCACTTCCCCCGTACACCTGCATGAACCTGAACGTGGCCCGGAGGGTTTGCTCATGGAATTACCCACCCTTTGCAAAGTGACATGGGACAAAGCGGCGCCTCGCCCACTAGGGTTATTATGAAAACAACAACAACAAATCCCGCAAGAAAAATTCCAAGGCATTAGCACCATGCTGACCGTCCTCCTTTGAGATCCCAGTGCATTCCCATCCAGCTCCCTGTTTGTGGCCTGGGAAAGCAGTTGAGGACGGCCCAGAGCCTTGGGACTCTGCACACATGTGGGAGACCTGGAGGAAGTTCCTGGCTCCGGATCAGCACAGCACTGGCCATTGCGTTCACTTAGGGAGTGAATCATCGGAAGGAACATCTTCCTCTCTGTCTCTCCCTCTCTCTGTATATCTGCCTTTGTAATAAAAAATAAATAAATCTTAAAAAAATAAATAAATAAAAGAGAGAGAGATCCCAGTGCAGATGTCGCGCCCCTCTTACATGCTGGGTCAGGGAACCTCAAGAACAGAAACGGAACTCTCCTGCCTTTCCAACAACAGGTCACAGCTCGCTGGTGCTCAGCTAGCAAGTGGGCTGCAACCAGCTCTGTTCTTTGAATGAAATGGAGAATGCCCACTCTGTGTGTGTGTGTACACAAGGCATGGACACGTAAAATGTATCAAACTGTGAGTCACACACAGTTGTACCCCAACAATGGTGATCAAAAGGAAACGTTTCCCGGACCGGACGACTCAACAGGCTAATCTTGTAAAGCACCAGCATCCCCTATGGGTTGGTTCAAGTCCTGGCTGCTCCACTTTCCATCCAGCTCCCTGCTTGCAGCCTGGGAAAGCAGCAAAGGACGAGTCAAAGCCTTGGGACCCTGCACCTGTGTGGGAGACCCAGAAGCTCCTGGTTTCAGACAGGCACAGCTCTGGCTTGGGGAATGATTCTGCAGGCAGAAGAGGTTTCTGTCTCTCTCTTTGTAAAATCTGCCTATTAAAAACAAATCTTTGCGGGGGGAGGACACGCTCTTGGCAATCTTTCATTTCACAGAAACCAACAAATGGCAATTTTGTGTGGGAACACCCAAGCCATCCACCGATTAAATAAATCGAGGCCGAGCCAGGTGAACCGCAAGCCTCGGAGGCAGGCCTGCAACAAGGGGATGCAACCAGCTCAGCCGGTGCTCCTTAACCCCAGGTCAGGTCGCTGGGAGGCCTCCTCCCAGGTGGGCAATTAGTGCAAACCCACAGCCCAGCCTCCCACGCCCCCCCGAGGTCGTTCACCCCGAAAATGTCTAAGAATAAACACGACCCCAACGGGCGGAAGGGGGCGGCTGACCAACACCACCACAGGGGCCGCTGCCAAGCACCCACCCCGGACCCCAGCCCAGCTCTTCCTCTTCCTCCTCTTCCTCTACTCGACATTGTACCTCTGCAGCCGCCAGGCCCGCCGCGGCGCTCGCGCCCTTCCCGGCCACCCCGAGCAACCAGTAGGGGAAACTGAGGCACGGGACCGCTTACCGCGGAACTAAGGCTGCGAAAGCGACAGACACACACCGGTAGTCCTCGGTTTCCCCCACTTCCAGCTCCGCTCGGCCCGGCGACCTCAGAAGCTCCCCGGTCCCCCTACTCCGCGCCGCTGACCTGGGGCTCCGAAGCGCTACACGCCCAGCGCACCCTCAACTCCCTGGAACCCGCCGAGGGGCCTTCCGTTCCCCACCCGCCCCCACGGCCGCCGTCCTGAGGTCACTTCCGGCGCGACGGGCCTTGGCGCCCGGGAAATTCGAAAAGCTGGTGGGGTCGTGAGCGCGTGCGCCACCATCTTCTCTTTGCCCAGTTCCGTACACGTGAGCTAGAGAATGGGCTGGGAGGGTCGTCTTCGCGGACTGCATATAAAGCTCAACAGCTCCCCGTCCCCCTCGCCCGCGACCACTTTCTTCCTGGGTCTGGTCAACCTGGGGCTTATCTTTACTAAGTCTCCGACGCCCCAAGCGCCGACCCCCTGGATAAATGTGTTAGACCCACAGCGGCTGATGCACCTCGGCGCTTTGGGGTCGGGAGTCAGAGGTTAAAACCATCCAGTGTGTGCCTGGCTGCTTGTGTCTGTCCAGGGCTCGGACAATGGGACGGTGCCACCCTCCCTCTCCTGAGCATTTTAGAGTTTACAACGAGTTTTCCATGTTCAAATTGGCGAGAGGGGTCTGCATCGTGGCAGGTTCGAGTTCCAGCTCTCCACTTCCGATCCAGCTCCCTGCTAACCCACCTGGAGAAAAGCAGCGGACAGTGTCCCCAGGGCTTGGGCCCCTGCCACCCACATGGAAGACTCAGAACCAGCACCTGGCCCCTGACTGCAGTAACTGGGATGGGAGGAGATCTGTGATTTCTCCCCCTCCTATGCCCTCTTTAAATCTTTTGAAAATAGCTGAAATAAAATTTGAAAGACCATATATAAAGCCTGATGTGCGATTTGGTGGGAACTGCCATGGGGGTGAGTGGCAGAAGCTAGGATAGCAAACCTGGCTTTACAGGAACAGTTGAGAGATGAGACCCAACCCTAACTGATGTGGTTAGTGGATGAGATCACGGCTTCTCAGCTGTCTCCTTTAGCCCAAGGTGTCCTTGCCAGTGTTCTGGGATGAACACTTAATGAGAGGAAAGGTGCTGTGAGCCGCCTCGCCCAGGAGTCAGTTGCACGTCTGGTAAGTAAGAACCTTGACCAGTATTGTTGGGGGTTGTCAGTTGAGGAGAATTCCGGTCTGGGCAGAACCTCCCACCTGCTTGGCAATCACTCACCAATGAAACCCACCTGGTGGTCAAAAAACACAATCCCTCGAGAACAGGACATCACTGACGTCCAGAAACTTGGACAGGAGCCTCAAGGCTTCCCTATCAGCCCCAAGTTCAAGCCACAAGAACCTTGACTCTGGCCTCTCAGGAGCCCGGGAATTAAGCAATAATAATAGAGTTCCTTGCTCAGAGCTTTGCAAATAAATACTTGCTTTCAATGTCAGAGATTGGCTTGGCATTGAAAGAGTGACCCCAGTTGGAAGAGGGAGGGGATTGTAGTACAATTGCTTCAGCTGTTGAGGAGGATTGTTCTGAAACAGGAATTTCATAAAATTTCCCCTTTCTGGGAAATTTAGCCTAATGGCCAAAGTCCTCGCCTTGCGTGCACTGGGATCCCATATGGGTATCGGTTTGTGTCCCGGTGGCCCCGTTTCCTATCTAGCTCCCTGCTTGTGGCCTGGGAAAGCAGTCGAGGACAGCCCAAAACGTTGGGACCCTGCACCCGTGTGGGAGACCCTGAGGAGGCTCCCAGCTCCTGGCTTCAGATCATCTCAGCTGTGACCATTGCAGCCACTTGGGGAGTGAATCATCAAACAGAAGATCTTCCTCTCTGTCTCTCCTCCTCTTTGTATATCTGATTTTATACTAAAAATAAATAAATCTTTTTTTTAATTTCCCCTTTCTAGAGGATGATGTATGTGCACTCACATACACACACACACACACACACACAGAGGCATTGCCAAAAGACTCACCAGGTCTGAAAGGGCCTTGGAATTTTGTCAGAAGTGAGTTTTTACAGCAGTTGTGGCTTGGGGCAATGATGAACAGAAAGTGCAGGCAATTTCCATGAATCTCTTGTACACACAACCCTAAGAGGCCTCCAAGCTTTGAGGACTCCCACCCCCGAGCCTTCTCTGACTCCCTAGTTTTGTTACGGACATGATTAGAAAAAAGCATCTTGGTTTCTCTTAAGGAGTCAGGAGCTTCTTCTGGGTCTCCTACATGGGTGTGGGCACCCAGGTTATTCAGAACATCCCGCATTGCTTTCCCTCTGCCTGGCAGAAGGGCAGCCAGGACCTGAATCGCCACTGCTCTGAGATGCAGCACAGTGCTGTGAGTGCAGGGCAGCTGACACCACCACACTGGTCCCTGAATTCGCCTCTTCTGGACGGACATCTCATATAAATGGAATCAAATTCAGGTACTCTTGAAAAGTTTGTTGGAAATGAAATTGATGGAGAAGTTGTGTTACAAACATGTTCTGCTATCCATGCAGAATATACATTTCCTATGAACTTTTTGACGAAATGATCTTTCAGCTGCATGATCTCCAAACATTTTTGCATCAAAATCAACAAAATAAGCCTATCTTTTAACTTCATTTGCAAGATGTGCACATGAAGTATGTGGCCTTTTGTGTCTAATTTTTCAAAGGATTGTTTATTTGAAAGAATGACAGAAAGAGGGAAACAGAAAGATATCTTTGGTTTGTTGATTCCCTCCACCCCCCAAAATGCCCACAACAGCTAGGGCAGGGCCAGGATGAAGCCAGAAACATGTAATTCCAGCCTGGTCTCCAGTGTAGGGTGGCAGAGGCTTAAGAAGTGGGGTCAGCATCCACTTTCTTCCCAGGTAAGTCAGCATGGAGCTGTATGGAAAGTAGAGTAGCCCCTGTACTGGCAGACACACAAGAATCGGGTCTGGGATGAAGTTTCCTTGGAGATCCCTCCAACTGAACTGCTGATCTCAGAACCCCAACCATGAAGAGATGATGTCAGCCAGTAGATTCTGAATAGATTTCATCGTGATTGGAACGGCGAAATTGGCAGCAATTTAGAACTATTGAACTATCAAAACTGCTTGAGCAGGACCCTTGGAGAGTGCATCGCGGTGGGGACCTGGGATGGGAGGGAGGCTGGGTGGGGCTCTTCCGTTGTTTCTCCCCTGACCCCAGATACAGGGGAAAAAATGATTTACTGTAACCCTTGACCCTTTGTACCCTAAGCAACTAAGTAAGATTAATAAAAAAAGAATGAGAAAAGAAAGTAGAGTAGCCAGGATTGGTGGGATGTGGGTGTCCTCAGGCCATAACGTCACCTTAACCCACAGTGCTACTAACCACCCCACCCCTGCTCCTGGCTTCACTGAACTTATTTTCAAGGTTCGTCTGTGTCTTGGCATACAATATCACTTGTCTTGTTTTTTGTTTTTTTTTAATACAAAAATAAATCACAAGAATGACTTAAAGAGTAAGCCTTAGGCCCAGCATGATAGCACAGTGGTTAAAGTCCTTGCCTTGCCTGCCCCGGGATCCCATATGGGCGCCGGTTCTAATTCTGGCGGCCCCACTCCCCATCCAGCTCCATACTTGTGGCCTGGGAAAGCAGTTGAAGATGGCTCAAAAGCCTTGGGACCTTGCACCCACATGGGAGACCTAGAAGAACACCTGGCTCGTGGCTTCAGATTGGCTTAGTTCCAGCCATTGCAGCTGCTTGGGGAGTGAACCAGCAGATGGAAGATCTTCCTCTTTGTCCCTCCTCCTCTCTGTATATCTGCCTTTCTCTCTGTCTCTCCTCCTCTCTGTATATCTGTCTTTCCAATACAAATAAATAAATCTTAAAAAAAAAAAAAAAAGAGTAAGCCTTGCAGCACAGCAAGTTAACCCACCACTTGGGATGCCCCCCTGAGGAGTCCCGCACCAGCTTCTGACCCTAACTACATCCTGAGCAGCAGCAGATGACGGCCTGAGCGCTTGGGTCCCTGTCCCCAACATGGAAGACCAGGAGGAAGCACCCGGATCCTGGCTTTTGCTCGACCCAGTCCTGGCCGTGGCAGCTGTTTGGGACTCCTATGAGATAACAACACCACAGGTGGCAGCTTTACACCACAGCACCAGTCCTGAAGGCAAGGTTTTGGTCACTGAGTCTGGTTAGAGAATGTTTCCTGCGAGAGAGGGAGGCAGAGAGTCAAGCCGACTGCCCAAGAACAATGGCTATGCCCTCTTCACTTTCCTTCCTCCTCGCACATGAAAACCCAACACAAGACAGCTCTAGGTGGGCAGGCACATAAATGACAGCTTCATTCAAGACACAGAAAGTCCCCAGCAGCAGCAGGTCAAGAATGACTTTATTCACAAATTGCACATGCACAGCTGGTTAGACATCTCTCTTGCACTGAGTAAATTGGCCTTAAGCGCTGAGATACAAAAAATGCAAGCAGCCAAGAGTGTCACGGCACACGTGACCATCAAAGACATCTTTACACGGAATATGGAGAAGGTGTTAGAGCTGCCAGCCTTTCCCGGCTCCAGGACAAGTCCACACACTCTGCTCCCTTCAGATACAAGGCCAGGAGGCAGCCCTGTGTGTTCCCACAGGGACAGGTGTCCCAGGCCCACAGGTGGCACGCTGCTCAGCCTTGTTCTGCAGCAAGACCACCCTGGGGAGGAGGGAGTAGCAGCAGTATCTTGAGGAGTCTCCTCCTGTCATCAAACAGGCTGCACAGGTCCTGACGGAGATCTAAATCTCCCTGTGTCTCCTGCCAGCCAGCACCCACACAAGGCCATTGTGGGCTTCCAGAGACTTCTTCAGAGGGCCTCCTTCCTCCAGCGGCAGCCCCTGGGGTGGCCTCTGCCATGGTCAGCACCCAGAGGGACAAGTCCACAGAGGGGACAGGCATGATCTCACTAGCATCTGTGAGTTTTGGGGTGAAGCATGGTCACCCCCATCCTGCCCCACACCCACTCTGGGGCCCAGGCTGGTCAGGTGGACAGAGTTCAAACCGACTAGACCTCAGTAGGGAGTACTCCTTTTAGAAGCGCAGCTTTGCCTGGAAATGCTCACAACGGGCATGCTTCATGGTCAACCCATAGATGGGGGTCATGTCCACCGTGGCACCAGGTGTGACCGTGAACTCCAGCTGCTGCAGCAGCATGGCCAGGAAGAGGAAGACCTCCAGACGGCCGATGTTTTCTCCCAAACACCTGCGCTTGCCCAAGCCGAACAGCAACACCTTCTCTGCTTGCGCCTTGTCCACCGCGCCTCCACCAGGGGTGAGGAATCGCTCGGGTCGGAAGGTGGATGGGTCACCCCACAGCTCCCTGGAGCCACAGAAAGGCTGCACTGAGCGGTCTGTCCCAGGCTCCGAACTTTCCTTCCTGCAGATCAGGCCCCCTTCCCCCCTCCAAAGCTCCAGCCTGCACACAGGAGCCTCCCGCCACCCGGGGCTGTCTCTGCCCTTCCCTCCCTCCCTCTCAACTCACGGGTCATGGTTGACCTGCCACTGGTTCACGAAGACGCAGTGCCCCTTGGGGATATAAAAGCCACCAAGACTGGTGTCTCTTGTGGTGCTGCCCAGAGAGGAAGCTCAGTGAGACTCAGGGTGACACCCTGCCCCACCTGCCAGCCCCAAGCGAGGATGTAGGAGCATGCAGACAGACTGCAGGAAGACCCCTAAGACACAAGAGTGAAGCCCGGGGCCTCTCACCTGTGGGGGATGGTGAAAGGGAGGAAGGAAGCGTGCCGGAAGGTCTCCAGGATAAAGGCTTCCAGGTAGGGCAGCTGAGGGCGGTCTGAGAACCGCGGCGGCCGTGCCCTGCCGATCTCAGTATCTGCGGAGCACCCAGAACCAGGTGGGTTAGGGAACTGCCTGGGAAAGCTGCCTTGAGCCCCATGAAGGGAGCCCTTGCCACCTACCCAGCTCCTGCTGGACCCGTTTCTGGATGTCGGGGTTCGTCACCAGGTACATGAGGCTCCAAGAGATGGCTGTGGTAACTGTGTCAAACCCTGGATGGAGCAGAAGAGAGGGGAAAAGTGAGGCTTGAGCGGCTCAAGACACTTGGCTGCATGCTGGGAGGGTGCTGGGAGGGGGAAGTGGCTCATACCAGCTCCAAAGAGATCCAAGACGATCTCAGTGATCTTGTCATCAGACACCTGGATGTTGGCATTCTCATCCAGCCTGTCATCCTGATAGTGCTTGATCAAGCTGTCTGTGACATCCCGAATGTAGCCCTGGGTGGGTGAGTGCCATCCCACAGTCACACCCACCTCTCCCAGGGCTTGGGAGTGGGGGGGGGGGTCCCATTTTCTCCGCTAGCTCCAGAATCCCCACATGCATTGCCTCCCCTCCTAGTCGCTGGTCCCATGGGCTTCCACAGCCCCACTGGCCCCCCTCCTTCCCGCCATACCTTCTCGAAGGTTCTGTAGTGCTCTTTGACTATCTTCTGGGTAAAGCTGAAGAACCTCTTGTTCAGGTCCTTGAAGGACTCCATGGCAGGATTTGGCAGGTAACGGAGGAGTGGGATGAAGTCAGCTGGATTTCCGGAGGCTGCCACCTCTCCGAACTCGTTGTTCAGGTCGATGAGGCTAACCAGCTCCTGGTGGTCATGGTCATAGCGCCGGCCAAAGAGCATGGCACAGATGACATTGGCCACAGATACCACCACATACCTGTAGGGATCAAAGTGCCCCTTCTTCGCCATCAGCTCCTGGAATGTGCGGATGAGGTGCTCGGCCTCGTGGCTCACGTGATCCTCCAAGTAGCAGGAGCTGGAGGACGCAGGGTCAGAGGCCAGGGAGAAACTGCTCAGAGCATTTTGGGCCAGGCGACGGCGGGCAGCCCACAGAGGCCCCGAGTCTGTTCCGAAGGTTATGCTCTGGCCATTGTTGACGAAGGAGAAACTGTAGAGGTTCGGCCGGCCCTTGAAATCGTCACCCTGCCGCACCAGCGCCTGCTTGACCGTGTTCAGACCACTGAGCACTACCACGGGCGTGGAGCCAAGGCGGATCTGAAACACGTCTCCATAGTGCCGGCTCAGCTGTGTCAGTACCAGGTGTGGATTCTTGCCCAGGGTCAGCACGTGCCCCAGCAGGGGCCAGCCCCAGGGCCCCGGCAGACTCTTCAAGCCTTTGGGAACCTGAGATTTTGAGGTTCCAGTCACCCAGAACACCAGGCAGAAGACGGCAGAGGCCAGGAGCAGCCAGGTGGCCGAGAGGGGGATTGGGAATCCCAACGCAGAAATCATGATGTGAGGGCGTGGGGGTCTTCCCCGAGGCTGCAGAAGAAGGGATGAAGCTGAGAGATGGGGGGAGAGGATGAGGAGTGGCTTTCCCACCCAGAATGGCCCACCAGGACAAAGAGGAGGAAGCCATTTGCCATGCTACCCCCACGGCATGCCAAGAACGTCCTAGTCACCCTTCATTCGGTCCGTGAGGGAGGTGTAGTGGGGTTCAGAGAGGGCATGTAACTTGCCTAAGGTCACTCAGCCAGGACTCACTGGCCACTGAACCGTGAGTCATACTCAGCATCTAGTGGCCCATACTTTACATTTGCCTGACACTAGCTTCCCATCCACTTGGTGGGGTACTGGGGGGGCTGTAATCTTAAAAGATATCAGTATGCAAGTACACGCGGCTTCGGTGTTTTCCCCTAACAGAAGGATTGAGGGAGGGGGAATGTCCAGCCCTCAGGGTCCTATAAGAACAGCAACCTTATTAGGGCAACTGCAGGTGGGTCGCCAAATTCGATACATCTACAACAGGCTGACATTAAGTTGATCACTCTGTATGGCCCACACATGGCAAGGGCTCTTGCCACATTCTAGGTACCACCAGCTTCCCCCAACACACCCCACCCCCTCTTCTGATCCCTGCAGGGGTTCCCCCAGATCCCTCCTTCTTTGTTGCTCATTCCCAGCATCTAGGGAACCCCACCGGACCCAAGAAGGGGCCACTGTCCAGGCCACACTGTTTCAGCCACCCTGCTCTCACCTAACCACAGTTTAGAAGCTGCTTGCTGCACAGCGGGTAGATAGCGCTCCCAATCACAAAATTCCAGGCCAGGATTTCTGTGAAGCTCCATTTCTAATGAATGAAGAGGTCACACCTCCCCCTTGTGCGCCTCCCCAGAGTGTGGAGACTAAATGGAACAGTCCCACTAGACCAGGGCTACAAAGAAAGTCCTGACTGGAATACTGGATATCAGGAATGAATCCAAAGGGTATGTAAATTCACTGAGCACACTCTTCCCCTGGATCCAGCTCCGCCTGGGGCTCTGGGCTGTAGGGAGGTCAGGAGGCCCAGGGCGGGAGCTCAAGTGAGACTGAAGCTCACTCCGCTACTTGGGCTCTGATGATATGACCTATTAGAGACCAAGACCCGCCGGCTCAGAGCTGGAGATACCATCCCACTCCACTCTGCAGAACCTGTGTCTCACAATGGGGTTTCTCTGTTAGAGCCTCAGGACTGGGGACCATTCCTCTTCCCAGCACTAGAGCCACACCTCCTATTGTCGGCATGTTTACCTGGACGAGCCCACCACCAGCACCATTACGATGTCCCTGGGTGAGCCAGGGACATAGCCAGGCCTTGGTGGCCATGGTGGGGAGGGGGTATTCTGCTGCTTGCTTTCAGTAGCAATCATAAAAGTCAATGGACATGACAGGTTCCTGGGTAGTGCCCGGAGGGTGGGGGGCAACAGTGAAGGAGGTGTCCCACTCAATACAGCCAGGACTTTTAAGATTTGCAGGGCACCACCCTGGAGAGTAGAGCTACTGGTCTACCCTAATACTCAGCGAAGTCCCCAGAGGTGGGGTGCTGATGTGGGACTTGGGACAAGTCCTGTTCTTTCCCCAGTCTCAATGTTCATATGAGGGACTGGACAGTCCTGGCCACCTTTAGTGGCAAGGCAAGGCCAGGGACCCCCTAGGGAAGCCTGCAGGCACCAGAAGTTTCCTTTGGTGGGCGAGGGAAAGTGCAAGCCAAGTGCACCCAGGCACTCACCTGTGGATGCCGGGCAGGTGCTGGACTGCTCTGGGAAGAGCCTCTTTGCAGTCAGGGACCCTCGGGAAGGAGGACGGAAGGCTGCAAGGGCTCACCTTCAGGGTGAGCAGGAGGGCACAGCCACCTTTATAGGAGGCCTGAGGGTAGCCACGCCTCCTGGTACTGGAGCGGTGAGGGAGGGGCGTCGGGGGAGCTGGCTGGCGCTCCAGGATGGGAAGAGAGGGGGGAGGGAACGCCTCATCTAGGTGCCAGCACATACAGGGGTGACTACAGGGGAACCTAGCACCATTCCTCCACCCCAGTTCCAAGGCGCACCCCTTAAGCATGGCAAAGGCCAGAGGCAGAAGCCAGAGAGGGGGCCTGGGATGGGAGTGGGTTGGTGGGGTTGCGCTCGGTTCTGGATAACGGGGTTTCTTAGCCATCACTTTTGCAAAAACTGTGGCACGATGGTGCCAGGGCCTCTCCCCTCACTGCCAGCCAACCGGCCAGGCGGGGCGGGGCTAGCTGCTGGCGACCATTCCCTCGGGGTTACTGAGTCCCCGCTCGCGTGAGAAGAGCCGCGACCCTGTGCCCGAGGTCACGGCCGCCGGAAGGCCAGAGGCGCCGCTGGGCTGGCCCCGGCCCCCAGGGCTTGGGCGACAGAGCAACGCTTTGCACTGGCTAACCCAGGGTCCCAGAGTCTCTCCTAGGGCACGATGACCCAGAACTCCCTGCCTGCCCGACGAGTTTGATCCCTTGGCTCTGGGCTAGAGGTCAGGAGTCGCTAGCGCTTGGAAGGGCGCTTACCGGGGCCCGGGAGCAAAAGAAATTAGGCAGGGGCCAAGGGAAAGGCCTGCAGGGCCCCCCAGCCACTCGCACCCAGGCTCCAGCCCGGGCTGGAAGAGCCGAGGGGTTCGGGAGCTTCCCCCCGCCCGCGAGCCTGCACCTGCCCGGCTTGCCGGGGCCAGAGGTCGCGCGGCCCCTCCCCGCGCCACCTGGCTGGAGGCGCGGCGCCCGGGAGTTGCGTGAGAAGGGCTGGAGGCCCGCGCAGCCACCTCGCCGCCCGGTCCCTGGTCCGGCACGGGTCCCGGCGCAGTCACGCGAAGGTGGAGGAGGGGGACAGAGGGCAGGGGGCGCGGCTCTTAAAGGGCCAGGGCCTGGCCGTCAGGGGCCTAAGGGTGTGGGGAGGCGCCCGAGCGTGGCAGGCGCGCGCTTGGAGAGGGGGGCGAGGCGGCCAAAGGGCCGGGTTTGCGTGCGGAGCTCTCGTGTCGCAGCCGCGTTCTGGGTCCACACCCAAGGCTGCCTGCTCTGACGCCGGCTTTGCGCGAGGCCGAACCCTGCCGACATCGCACGTCTGGGGACAAAAGCCATGTTTGCATGTCTGGCTCAACCCGTCCCCAACTCACTCATCATCACCTGCCCTTGGTGAATGGCATCGGCAGGGCACGCACACTGGCCCAGGCCAGACAACAGCCTTCCCCGCCGCTCCTCTGACTCCGGCTGTGCGCGTGGCGCAAAATGTGTCCCCAAGCGCCTACCGTTTGCCAGGCAGGAGAACACAAGGAACAAGAGGCCTGCGCTCGGAGGGATGGGGACAAGCGTCTCCAGAGGGATGGGTACGGGTGGGTACGTGACTCAACAGGCTAGTACTCCACGTGCAAGCACAGGGATCCCATATGGGTGCCGGTCCCTGTCCTGACTGGTCAACATCCCATCTAACTCCCTGCTTGTGGTTTGAGGAGAGCAGGGAAGGATGGCTCAAAGCCTTGGGACCCTGCACCCGTGTGGTAGACTCAGAAAAGACTCCTGGTTGCTGTTTGGCCAATTTGGGAAGTGAAGAGTGAATCAGCAGATACAAGATTTTTCTCTCTTTCTGTAAATCCAAGAAGAATAAATAAATCTTCAATAAAATAAAAAGTCTGTAGAAAGCCAAGCAGAAGTATTGTAATTCCAACAAAACAGGGTGGGCAGGTGTATGCCCCCCCCCAACTCCTAACACCCCCACACTTCCCAGGAGAGGCGGGACAACACCTGGTGGGGGGAGAGAGAAGCAGTCACCAGAAATGGTGAAGATGGGGGTGCCTCTCCCCTGCATGTGGGGGAGACTTAGAGGTTACTGCTGAGATGGGTGTGGTGGAAAGGGGGTGCCTCCCCTCTAGCCTGGGAGAGACCTGGCACTTAGTGTTCAGGTGAATGTGGAGGGAGCATGTGGTGGGCAACACAGGATTCCACGCACCCTGTGAGCCACGGTCACCCCTCAGGTGGCTGTGAGAGGACACGGGCAAGGATGGGGTCTCTTGTGTGACACCTGTGTCCCCATCTGCTCCTGCCCTTCCACCTCTTCCTCTACAGAGCAAAACCAGGATTCCCCCCCGCCCAAATGCAAAGCCTCATTCCATCACCATGTTACTTGCACCTCTTTCTACCTAGCCAACCTCTCGCCATGAAAAGGGTTCCCGATCCCTTCTGTGCCTCCCAGGTTCATAGATGGAAACTCAGATGGAGCACCACCTCCTCCAGGATGCCCTTTGAAATCTCATCCTCAGCCATATAGATTTCTGCTTCTGGCCATCCTCCCTGTGGTAGCTCTTAGGCCAACCTAGGCTGGCTGGGAGGTCTATGCCACCTGCCGATTCTTCCCTTGGGCCCTACATGGACAAACCAAGCTGCAGGAAGCAGACCTGTGAGGCCAACTCTGCAAGACACGTACTGATTGGCAGACACAGACACAGGTGCCACCCAGAGATGGAGAACTTGAACCACTTCTTATCATCTACTGTATTACCCAACCCTCTATGTCATCCAGGTCCCCACCAAAGGGGTGTGCCCTTCAATCCAAGCCGTGCTGGGGATGCAGAGAGAACAGCCAACTGGCATGGCAGCCGTGGCAGTAAGGAAAGGCAATGAACCCCAGCTGTGTCCCTCATCCCCTCTCCGAGGCTCCCCTGACTGTGCCCTTGTCCCCAGGCTAGAAGATGGTCACATACTGAGGCGCCGGACTAGGGTCTCAAGCCGCTTCATCTCATGATGGAAGGTACACTGCCCTGGTGGCATTATCCAAGGGGCCTTCTTGCCAAGATAGTTGATTCACTAAGAAAGCCAGTTTCTGTCACACCTGCCAGCTGGACTAAGCGATGTGAGAAAGGCAACCTCAAGCAACACCTGCAGCTCTGTGGTCTCCTGCTGGCAAATGGGGTTATTCCAGCTCAGCTGATTGCATAAGAAGGCCAAGGGTGGGCAACATCAGCCACTAGACCAGTACCAA